ATTTTTATTATTTTAAAATACTAATAAATTCATTTTTAATTTATATTAATATTATTATAATAAAAAAGTTTTTTTTAGTTTAATTTTTTTCAAATTAAAAAAAATGTCATTTTTTTTTGCCGGAACTGTATATGTATTGTTCAAAAAATAATGATATAACAACATTTTTGTCGTTTTCAAAAAGAATCAGCCATATTACACAATTATATTAAATGTTGACGTAAGAAACGGGTATATACTGTTCATAATTAACTTATAAGTACAATGTTCATTTCCGGTGAAATTTGCATGCTTTGTTAATTTAATAAAAATTTACCATTCATCGAAAGCTAACGCTGATTTATTCCGAATCGTAAGCTAGGACTGTATCTTGTATTTCTACACAATATATTAAAGATGGCCACATTTCCCGCTCACAAAATTAAGTCGACAAAATTATTGACTCAAATTAACACAAAGCTTCGGACTTAACGATGATTTCCGTTTTCTTATTTTATGAAACTACGTCTACAAAGAGGACGATATTCAACATGAAATAGTTTAATTATACTTTCTTTAACGTCGTGCTAATCAATTTAAAAATTTAAAAATTTATATTTATGAAACGAGAAGGAGGTTAATGTAATTCTTCTGTCGAATAACTGATCAACTTTTTGGGGCTGATTCCTTGAATGCTGTCACTAATGATTGGTTGCAACTCCGAGACGAAAAATTTTAGAGGCAATATACTTGTTTCAAGCGTGCTTAGCCAATCATCATCCAACTCATCACGAGCGCCTTCTACTAGTAAAATATCATCAATTACACCTTCAATTTTTCCAAGGAAATTATTCACAGAGTTATAACAAATATTAAATATTCCATTACTGTCCACCCGCTGTCTGCCCAACTTGGCTATAGAATCTAACCTTTAATTGAAGAGTATGAAATTAAATGTTTTTTATACTTTAAATAATGATGTTTTGTTGAATCTGAATCTTACATTAAATAAGTCGCGCCAATTGACGGATTGCCATATTTTTTCAATATTCCGTCAATTTTATTCTCAAATTTTTTTATATCTTCTTTCTTTTTTTCGATATCTTCGTCAATTTTTTTGAGTTTACTTTCCCTATTAGCTTTTATCAGTTCGACTTTATTTTTGGCTATCTCCAACATTTCCAATCGAGATCTGAGCGCTTCCTTGCATTCTGCTTCATCTAAAATCTTTAGATTTTCTTGACTCGTAATTTCGGATATTTCTTCTTTAACGAGCATTTTTTGCTTCCGCAATACTATCAATGCAAGGATTTTTATTATTAGCTTAAAGTTATTTTACGGAAAATCTTCATAATGATATTATTGTTAGTGTTGAACCTTCAAGATCACTGTTCCACATGAAGCGATAAGCTTTCACAATTCTGCTGCTAGTTACAAATGAAAGAACATGGTTTTCAAGATAATCACGGTTATCTTGGAGAATCTTTTTTTCATTTTGAAGATCTTTCTTTAGGTGCTCATGACCATTTAATTTCGTTTGATAAAATTCTATTTCGCTAATAATTCTGGAAACTTCATTGCATTCTGCAATATCCTCTATGACAATTTCGTGCCTTTTCTTTTCAAGAGTTTCCAGATCTCTCTCACTCCGAGATTGATCTTCCATCCAACCTGGGACAGCTTTGGAGCCCGAATTTTCCATAAATTGGGTAAGATTTTTTTCGAGATTTTCAACTTTCTCAGGGTCAAGTTCACATTTTTTCTTAATGAGGACTTTCAAACATTCCATAGGTCTTTCTATAAAATGGAGATACTTGGTAATCGGCTTATTCATAAGTTTCGGATTATTGGCGATCTTTACGAATCTCGTGATCCCATCGGAAAGTCTTTCCATAGCACCAATAATATCTATCAAATTATTTCGAATGTTTACACTCTCAACTAGAATATTAGTGAGTTGCTGAGGAATTCCCGTACTTTTGAAAAAAGAAAGAAAAAGCTCACATCTAAACAAAACGAATGTTGAAAGAACGAAAACCTAATGAAATAGTCAATAAATCAACAACTAACACGCTTTCAGGTAATTTATCCATTTCTTTTTCCGTAAAGGCGATACGAGCATGGACGGTAAAACAACTGTTTATGATATTCATTTGACTCACAACAGTATTAAACATCGGTTTAATCAGATTAAATCTCTGTTCATTGGTATAAAGACTTTGCAATGGAGTTTTCACTTTGGTGTTTTGACATTGCAACTCCCTTTCAACATCTTGAATTATTTGACCATTATTATTCGTGTTATCCTCCATGGTAAATACTGGAAATAAGAGTTCGAAACAAAAAGGTCAATTGAACTCCTTGAAGGAACCAAAGCCCATTTTAAAGAAAAAAGGTGATATGATTTTGCTTGGAATCAATGATTTGTATAGTTAATTGATTTTAATTTTGATATAGATAGTGATTGATATACTGTAAATAATAATTGATTAATTGATTAATTGATACGGTATTCCAATATACGTACAGTGATATCAGACAATTGTACATACTTTCACCAATCAACAAATCACAAATCATACCATGAAAGCTTTCTCACAAGCACACCGTGAAATTTCATTTTACAGATAAATGTGATATACTGTATACACCGCTGAGTTAAGCAAAACATGTGGTTTATTATTAATAATTCAAAGATTATTGCATTCATTCATATGCTAATTTGATGCATATGAATTGTAGCTCTTGTATAAAAAAAAATATACAGATTGTAAAAAACCGAATTTTTTGACACTGATGTAGAAAAATTATGTTTATGCTTTTATCCTGAGATATGGTGAAAAATATGTTCTATATAAATATTATTATTGTTATGGGTAAAGGTAGGGGGTGTTACGCGACACACTATCGCCATTCCTCTAAGATGTAGTTACGTAAAATAAGACAGTCAAGTTTTAAAAAGTGTATGCTATAACGGACTGTATATATAGTAAGTGAATAGAGATTTTTTTTTTCCAAATAAAAGACATTGGGGGTGTTCTTACTTCATGTATGCAACACCTCTACGGCATTCTTGCAGGAAAACTTGTAGTAAAATTACTGTATATGGTAATTTATCTTATCTCTAGCAGATAAGGCACGTTTTTATGCCGCGCTTTATATTAAGATTTATAATAAATTATATATTATCTACTTTTCATCGTTCTTACTTTGTGAGGTGACATTCTACATGTGCTATAAAAAAATAAAGGTTTGTAAGATAAGTACATACATAATCGCGTTAATATTATCCTTTAATATTAATGACTTAATAAACGTAATTCATATAGCATATAATTTAATAAGTTTACGCCAAAGAGACTAAGAGTGAATTTGAAAGTCATGAAATATTAATGCAACGTTGATGGTGAGATAAAATACGCTTACTGCCTTAGAGCCGCATATATAATACATGTTTTGCAAGTAAGTCTATGTCTTTGCTAAAGTGACGGTGATTCTGTTGCTAACTCTTGATCAAATTTTCCGTGTGACCTGCAATAAATTTATGGCGTGTATATTATAACTTTCTGATTTTTTGCACACTTGATTAATAACTCTATATCTTTTGTTTTTTATAACGGTACACATGCAAACTATCATAAGTATTAAAACGTTTGATAATTAAATTTGGTATGGATTTTTTAATCTGCAAAATAAAAAAAAAATGAGTGCAATTATTGTATTTTATTGTAATTATTTACTTGGAATTTATAATAAAAAAACCTTTGTGCTATGAATTATGATCAAACTGAAATTACAAATTGAATAAAAATATTTTTTTTAAAAAAAAACTCAAAGCTAATATATTTTTTTTTTTAAAAAAAATTCAATCTAATATTAAGTCTTAGTACTTTGTAGGATCTCTGTTAGCAACAATACAAGCAACAATATGATCTGATATACTATTTACTAATTAGTGGCAAATTTCTAATGAAGTGTTATATAATACTTGTTTAATAAAAATTTCAAGATCAGCAAGGTTACTAGACTTTGATTTGCAATACACAAACATTTTGATCTCATGCCAGAGGTTCTTGATAGAATTCAAATCAAGACTCTAGGCAAGCCAGTTTAATACCTTGATTTTGTGATCTTCAAAAAATATAATAATAATTTTCAAAATATGGAGTCTCGTATTGTTTTGCTAAATAAAAGAACAACTATGATCTGTGTTTTTTGAATATTTTTTTAAGATGTATATGGCATATTTGTACAAAATCTCAATATATAAAGCTCCAGTAATATGTTTAACTAATAGAACTAAAAAACCAGTTCTATGTCAAGAGAAACAACTCCATAACATACAGTTAAAACTTCATTTAATGATATAACTTAGGTATTTGATGTTCCATTCCTGTCCACCCGCTGTCTGCCCAACTTGG